CACGCAGAGCCATCCTTTCTCTAGGGTTTAGGGTTTAGAGGGAGACCCCTTAAAGGGGACCCTTCTGAACCGTACTTGTGGCTCTCTTAAAGGGGGACCTTATTGAGAGGGTCTATATCCCCAAGGGTCCCCCTAGTCCTAACTCCACTCCAAGGCAGATCGGTTCTTTTTTCCCTCCCCACTTAGCAAGGACGAGCCCGCAATGCAGGGTACATCCGGCAGATCGGTTCAGGGTTCAGGGTTCAGGGTTTAGCGTTGTTTTTTGTTAAGGTCGGAGGAATCCACGTTGTGGGTTTTAGGGTTTAGGGTTTCGGGTGAGATACCTCAAATCAAAGGAGAAGCACATGCGGCAGGCAGATTACTCCAGGAGCTGTGGAACATATATTCTCGACTCCAGTCCTCCAGCAGCTTACCCGCACTTCTTTACCCCCGACCCCATTGGGACACAGTCACTACTTTGGACCCAAGCTCCGCGTCCAAACCAGCAGCGATCGTGGAAGCATAGCAGAGTACAGCAAAGGTGTTATCATGAGGGTTTAGGGCTGTAGGGACTCATTCTGTGCATGGTTGCTCCACCTATCCGACTTTGACTTCCTGATCGGATCACTGGCATTGGCGTCCTCAGAAGCGTCGGAGTTACAAACAGGACCGGATCACGCCGCCGTGGGAATCATTCGAATCAGATCGGTCTGTCAAGCCCTCTTTCAAGCTAAGGCTCTGCCACGTCAACCACACCAGGCGCATACCCTTTTCTGCGGAGGAATCCTGCATTGGCAACCGTCGCCTTCAAGCAGGAGGCGATGCTCTGCCACTGGGGAACATGCTGACTCTGGGTGTCTCGTGCTGCGCACCAGGAGCAGCAAAGCTTGAACCAGGCTGGAGATCTTCATTTCACCTTAGCTTCCCCATTGGACCACGAACCTTTCCACAAATCTCAGTACAGGCTGAGTGTCGGAAAATGAACTTCGTTTGGCATGCGGACGGGATCGCGAATGACCTATCCCGCCACAAATGCACCTGCCCTGAGCCAGGTGTCTGCAAGACACAAACGTCTCAACTTATGCACTAGCGGCTGCTGCATGCTCGCCACGGCAAACACCAGTCTACAACCAGTTGCGAATTCAATATCTCCTGGGGAACAAGAAGCCATATGTACCCCTTGGCCTGATCATCCGGCGGCGCAACGACCTTGCTTCGGGCACCAGAAGCCTCTCCTTTCCCAGCCATTTCATCATAAGGACACGGCCCATGCCTTTTGGCCCAGAAGTTGCGCGAACCAGTTTTCCTGCGGCCAAAGTTCCTGGGCCTTGCCTTGATCAGCAACTCGGATGCCGGACGCTGGTGTATACCTGCCCCTGTTCATGAAAGCTCACGGGCGAAAATCGAAATGCAAGAAGCTTTCCAGCCGAGCATGCTTTGCTTCCCATGCAGGGTGTAGTGATTTATGCGCTTCGGTGGAGGGACTGGGAGCCAGCTATCTCCAAGCCTGATGCTGGTGGGGTGGTGAGGAGGCGTTCGTACCTGGTACAAGGAGTGGGCATCAAACAGAACGAGCTTCCAGTATCCGAGGCCGGCACTTCCAATGCTCAGAGTTGGCCTTTCATATTTAATGGAATAGATGAGAGTAGAAAAGAACAGAGTGGAATAGACTAGAACACATAAAAAAGCAATAGGAAAAACTAGTCTATTCTCCTCCGTTTTCTATCCTATTATAGTATACTATACGAGACTATACTATACTAGACTATACCGACTATGCTATAACGTAACATGTCAGCCTTCTCTCGTTTGAGGCGGGGACCCGGTGAGCTGGATAGGTCGCAGATAGTCGGGCAGCTCGAGGACTGGCGCAAGGCAAAGATGCGGAGAGAATGATGCCAGCGATACTTGGAGTTCATGGGTAGTTAGAAGTGGGGTTATAAGTCCCTATAGTTACCCTACTTATAACCCCACTTATAACTACCCATGAACCTCCAAGTAGGGGAACATACCAGCGATACCGTCTCCTAAAGCTTGGGAGGCCGGATGCAAGGGCTTGAGCAGGAAGAGCGTCGACTCGGTGTGTACAGCTTTGCGGCCAAGATGAAGGTCCAAAGTGCTGAGGATGAGACATCTCGCAACGCCATAATCGATTCTAACGGGGCCGGCTGGCCCAGTCCAGTCTGTGAGGGCCTGGTCAGCGCATGGACTCAAGACGGAAAGAGATCACCATCGCACTTCTGGGCATTCCGCTTGAATTGTGCTTTTCCCGCACATGCGCGAAGCTCCACCTGTGCCTTGTGAGGCACATCCTCCTCCGTCAGCCTGTTGCGCTTCTTCGACGCGGACGTGGGCGACAGGAGTCAGTAGTGCCGTAGTGGCTTGTTTTTTCCGACTGGGCCACGCAGAGATTGGCCACCACTGACTCCAGAGCCTCGTTCCAAGCTTCTTGACCCAAGCATACGCAAGCCACAGGCCACAAGCAGTGTGCCCTTCGCCGTGAGATTGAGTTCAGCAACATGAGTCACAATATCAGCACATCGGTGAAGCTGGCAACAAAATCACCTCAAGGCAGAATCAGTGGCTACACTATTTTCCGGGTGGGTGGGTATGCTTCCGATACGTCACACAAACCAGAATCAATTGCTACACTATTTTCCGGGTGGGTGGGTATGCTTCCGATACGCCACACAAACATGCCGATGCTCTGAGGCTTGGACTTGTCTGGTTGTACAAGAGCAAGTATTTCACTGCATCATTGTTTTGGTCAGCAAACGGAACCCGTTGGTGCGTGCTGGACTGCTCTGCGGATTGTTGGAGATATATGTCTAGCATACGATGTCGCCAATCCACTCTGATGCCAATCGTCATCCAGGAATCATCCAGCCAACTCCCCACGGGTACCCGGCTCGAGCATGAAGAGAAAATGTCGCGGCCCGTGCCGTCTCGAGAAAAAGACATGCATACCAGAGGCCGCTCCGGGCCTTTGTCATTGCCCATGCCATGTGCCAAGGCGAAGATCGCACCTGCCCGATGTGGGCATGAGGCCCTCGCTTTGCAACGATACACCACCAGAGATGGCCGGCAGGCACAAGGAAAGCTGAAGACCAAACCACTCGGACCATAATTTGTGCTTGGATCCTCGTTGGCGAGGCACATGCACCAGTGGCCAAGTGGCGCGAAGCTGGAGGTGGTCGCAGTGCAAAGCGTACTCCTGCAAGGCGCCCTGTGCATCTGTGGAGGTGCTTCCGTTCCAGGGCCAATGCGCCAAACGCCTCCTTGCTTGCCAAATAAGGCCGGAAGTTCACCTTCCGTTGAAACTAGCCGCTGAGGATCCATGTGTGCAAAGTTCTCAAACAGCCATGCTTGCTCCAAGAAGTGCGAGAATCGCATCACACTGGCCCTTTCTTCCAGGGTCAACAAAGCAAAAGGCGCAGGAAAGGGCAACCTCTTCTGCACAAGTTGCAGGGCAGCTTGCCAGTAGGCAGCAGCCACGCGAGCGAGGAGAAGAATCTCTCTTGCCGCGAGATTGGACCAAACCTTGCACAAACACCAAGTCGAAACACTTATCCGTCTTGCGACCCTGAAAAGTTAATGCATCACGACGATGGGTCTAGGAAAATTGTCAGCACACACATTCCGCAATGTCGGCCGTGCCCTATACATACCAAACCGTTCGCTGCGGCGGGGCAGAGTCTGTTGTTCGTGATGGCAGGCCATGCCTCATAGCATTTCGTGAGTTCTGGATGGATGGATATATACATTAAAAAATACATATATATATATGTGTGTGTGTGTGTAATAACCGCCCCCCATGTTCCCACGCCTATCTGCTAAATGTCGGCTTGAGGACTGTGTTGGTTATGGGGGGGTTGCCTGGAGAGCGCACCTTTCTTCCTTATATTTAAATACAAAACTCTCGCTGCGGAGCAAGATAGAGCGGATTCAAACGGATTCAAGACGTATTGAATTGAATACGCCTCGAATCCAAGATTCAAGATGCAAGGTGCCCAGGAGAACCTTGCCCTGCACCTTGAATCTTCAATCTTGGATCTGACGGGCATTCAATTGAATACGTTTTGAATCCGTTTGAATAGGAATGTTGCGGCTCGACCATTACATTCTGCTCCTGTTTAGACTAAGTAGCACAGCAAGGAGCCTTGGCTTGTTTCCGCCCAGCGGCATCGTACAACTAGGAAAACGGAAGTTCATCTTGATAGGTTTTTACTACCCGTCTTATTACTGAGGCAACCAGAACGGTGAGTGTGACCACAATAATGACTACACTGGTCATGCAACAGTGAGACTATGGTGCTGGCATAGAAGAACATATTGGTACTTTAGTGTACTTTACCTATGACCAAGAAAAGTGGAGATTGGAAAGGTTTGTAGGGACACGAGGACGATCCCACACAATTCAAAAACAGTGCGTGGGTACAAGGGGGCGGGCTGTGTGTCTGTATGTGTATATATATATATATACATACATACATACACACATATACATATATACATATATACATATATACATATCTGCATATATATATACACATATACATACAAGATCATATAGACATATATACATATATACATATATACATATATACATATATACATATATACATATATACATATATACATATATATATACACACACACATAGTCTTATTCGTTTTTTTGCTTGTTTATAGATATGTCTATTTACCCGCTTATGTGTTCATGCATTCGTGCGAAACCCCGGGCGTGCAGAGTCTCAGCCCCAGGGGACGACAGCGGGTTTAGGGTTTAGGGTGCTAAAAGCAAAACAGCAAGTCGGACGGCTAGTGACAGCAGGTCCGAAGTGAACTCACGGCTTTGCTTCACTCTCACCATGATATGTTACTTCAAACAACTCCCTATAACAGCAAAAGAATAGAAAGGTACGCGAAGATGGCGAGTCTGGTCTTGGCTTTTCCGCCCTATTTCAGCATGTCTCCGAACAAGGCTTAGGGTTTAGAGTTTCGGCGCGTGCACTGGGGCACTCCAGGCGAGGCATGCGGTTCGAGGTCTGACTGAAGTGAAACTGACGTACTCGGTGGAGATCACAACAACAACAATCACATTTTAGGACTTAGAGTTTAGAGCTTGGGCTTTGGGGTTTAGGGTTGCTTTGCTTGATTTTGACCCTGGGGGAGCCCGATGAGCCGACAAGCCTGGGTCGCTTGAATCTACAATATATTATGATTAATATACTATAATGTACTATAATATACTATAATATACTATAATATACTATAATGTACTGTTATGTACTATAATGTACCATATAATGTACTATTTTGACAGTCTCTGGGATCTGCACTATCGGATGAACGGATGAAGGCTTTCCTTACTTTGCCGACCAGCTGGGTGCCCGAGGCCTGTTTCGGCAGCACCTGCCTTCTTGAGAAACCCCAACCGTCGCCCCAGCCAGGACTCAGGAAGCCGTCCTCTCCCCCTGTTTTTCCCGATCGGTGCCTTCGGATTTGCATCATGTCCCCCATGGTCGTGGCAGTAGAGCTGCACCCACGCAGATTCACACGGGGAGCTCTACATTGTGGCTAAATTGTAGAACGAATACGGGATTATGTCTTTGCCGAAACAAACAGCCGAAGAGCCTGAAGCAAGAGAGCGCCGGTGACATCTGCAAACGTGGCAGAAGCGCTCATGGCCGTCTCATGCTGCACCGTCGATGCGACATGCAGGACAAGTGGCAACTGGCAGCAACGTTGATGTTCAGATTTGGGATCCTGTCCACGATCGTTCAGATAAATGGCGACACACTGTTTGGAGCTGTGCAGGCCGTGCTGACTTGGGAGCGGCGTGCAGGGAGGCACATAACACCCCGAAAAGTGCATTGTCAGCCCAAGTACCTTGAAGCATTTGCTTCGTAGCGGTAAACCTGAGGCAGCCGACATCGTGCAAAGTCAGCTTGCCCAGCCGCTAAGCCTGAGCTCCGGGCCACTACTTGCTGCGACCTGGCGGAACTTCCACCAAGAACCACCAAGAACAGATAGTCAACTGGCGAGGCCTCACCATGGAATGGCCAAGAGATGCTTCCAGCACCTGCGGATCCCAACCTCAGGGACAGAAAGATGCCGTCCATCCCTAATCACTACTCCCTACTTGGAGGATCATGGGACTTGGTAAGTAAGCATAACTATAGTTAGCTGATTTATAACTGTTACTAAATCCCATGATCCTCCGAGTAATCTCGTCGTTGCGCCCCGAGCCTGGACCAAAAGGGCTGGCACCTGCAGATCTGTCTGCTACTCCGAATTCCTGACTGCCTTGGCCGAAACCGGCTTAGTACAATAATCCAATCGGGGGATCCTGATGATACTTCTTAATAGTGTATAACAGACGCCAAAAAGCTGTGCCTCTGCGCTCTGCAGCAAGCAGGGACCTGGGCCGCTCAGAGTGTTCTTCACAGCCCAAGAGTTCCGCAGAATGCCGGGGGGGCAGGAGCTTCAGAGAGAAAGAGAAGAGAGAAGAGCGAGAGAGAGGAGAGAGCGAGAGAGAGAGAGAGAGAGAGAGAGAGAGACAGAGAGAGAGAGAGAGAGAGAGAGAGAGAGAGGGGGAGAGAGAAGAGAGAAGGAGAGAGCGAGCCACAAAGATGCAGAGCAGAAGGCGTGAAGGAAGTAGACCACAATTAACCGGGAAAGACATCGAAAGATATCGAGAATGCAGTACTCCGGAGCACATCAGATTTTAATCAGTGCAAAACAACCACATAATGCAAGAACGGTGTTAACACGGCGGACATGACCCATCAGAATCAGCCACAGTGTCACAGGATATGGCGGGGCGTGGGGCAAGTGTGCTCTGGGCTTTGGAACGGGGCCTCTTCCGTTTCACATTGGCGGAAATGCAGTTTGTGACCCCTCTGTTCAGCCCGGTATGTTGAGCGGAGCTACAGCGCCAGCCACTGTTTAATTGAATAAGAAATTCAGCAACTGGATTTTCCAGAGCCACCGACAAGGAGATTAAGAAATTTAGGGCTCTGCCCCCGACAGAAAATCTCTTCTCGAATCTCCTAGATGCTGCCCCCAAGACCAGAAACGCAGGACCCGAAAGACCTCACGGCAGTTTCGGATTTCTGGACTTTGGAAGGATTTGTACAGCAAATCGGCGACAGTGGGTTTCGGATTTCTACAGCAGATCGGCGAGAGTTTCGGACTTCACCCCAAAACTAGTGGAAGGGCATGGCCGGACCACGCAAGAGGAAAAAATGACATTCAGCCCTTGATATGTTTTTTTATTTTTTGTCCGTGCTTTTTGGCCGGACTGCCCAAAAGGAAAATCAGAAATTCAGCCCCTGGATGTCTAATTGTCTTTCTGCCGCCTACAACGAGAATAAGATATTCAGCCCAAGGGCAAGAAATCCAGCGTACCCTGAACCTGGCGGTGTGACTAATGACCCTGAACTGAGCGCTGTCTGACGTAAAGAATCCAGGGTGCTCTGCCTCTTCTACAGGCGTTTCTTATCCAGCGCTGTCGCTGTAGCTCAAACTCGCTCATTGGCTGCACTCCTGGTTGTGACTCACATGCCTCGTTTGTGCTGAAAGCTCACAGTAGCAGACGTCGAGGCCCTATGTCTGACACCTGAGCCTGTGCCAGGAATTCAGCTGACAGCCCCTAAACCCTAAACCCTCAACCCTAAACCCCCTAAACCCTCAACCCTCAACCCTAAGCCCGCTTACCGGTCCCTGCAGGAGAACCCCCCCAAAAAAAAACCCAAAAAAGACTTCGCTCCCCGCAAGGCCTCAGCAGCCGGAGCTGAGCCCTGAGGCTCAGGCTCCGGTGGGGCGCCTTTGCCACGCTTCTCCTGGCTAAGACAGAAGCCTTAAACAAAAAAAACGCCAGCACTATCCCTTAAAATCATAGCAGCCTTTTAAGAAAATCACCAATACTATCCCTTTTAATCATAGAAGCCTTAAACAAACACAATCCTATCCCTTTGAATCTTGGTCATTAGTAGTGTATTTTTCCTTATAGAGGGCTCCTTCTGTCGTAATTCTACCATGAGTGGTATTCAACGCAGCTCGCGGCTCCGCCAATGGCCTTGCTGCTCAAGCCTGCGCCCAAGCCTCAAGTGGCAAAGGAAGGGCACTGCGAAGCGGTATGGTCCCCGCGACTCTGCTACCAAAAACACCAGCACTCACAACATCAGCAGGCGAGAGCTGTGCAAATGATAACTGCTTTTTGCTATACACGCTGCGAGTTTTGCAAGCTGATGGAAGCATGTACAGTCCACGTGCTGTTCGAATTTAGCCGTTTTGTTCGGCTATCATGCATGATACAGTTTGAATCTCATGGAACCTGCTCTTCTGGCTTTGCATGTCAAACATTTTCACACACCTTGAGTCCGCCTTTTGTTTAAAGGCAGGCAACTCCGACATGGTTGCAGCACCACTTCTTCTTTGGTGCTGACCAGCCAACTTTCCATTTCGCCAAGCCAGCACCACAATTAAAGGGCAAGTCGCCATCTGCGTGGACCTGGATCCAGTGGTTATGCCACTGCCAAACCATCCCATCTGCAGCGACACCTGGGGGATTGCCATGGCCACCTCCAGCTCCTCCTCCTGCTGCTCCTGCTGCTCCGGCTGCTCCAGCAGCTCCGGATGCTCCGGCAGCTCCGGCTGCCCCCCCAGCCCCTGCACCTCCGTGGAAAACATGCGTCACAGTCGTCACATGAGTTGCATGCGTCGCCGTGGATAGTGCCCCACAGCCCAAGTGCTGGTTCTGGCAGCACCAAGACTTCTTACCGTGGGACCAGCCGGTGAGGTGGTGCACCAGGCCAGCATGACAGTCGTACGGCATGCTCACGCCTCCGACGTGCACTGCAGTCCATACCCAATACCCATTGACTTGAACCCTTTTCCATGCCATGCCAAAACCGGCATCCACATGTGGTGGCGATTTCCCTTCGCAGCCTTTGTGCTTCACAGTGCAGCACCAATGCTTTTTCGCGGGCGACCATGCTCTGAAGAAGTTGTTGAATGCTGCATCACAATCGAAGGCAGCCGATGTTGCGACATGCACATCACAGCCGATCTCTTGTATGGTGCAAGCTCTGCACACATCACACTCCACCTGAATCTTGCTGTACGCCAAGGAGCAAGCATTGGCCTGGCCTCCGAAAACCTTCCCTCGAGCCCAATGCATTCGACTCTTGCACGTAGAGGTGTCGCCATGCAGGGTGCAAGGTGCTTCGCAGCCCAGGCGTGAAAGCGTCGTGCTGGCACAGCCTTTCTGAAAGGTCTCGCAGCACCTGAGAGAGGCGTTCTCCCGTGGGAGCACTGGAATCACAGGGACATCAACAAACGCCTATGCCAAATGCAGACCCTGGCACCATGACTGCTTGTCTTCGGTCCAGTCACTGCTATCATCTCCATCACAGTAGTACTTGGGACAGCCTTTGTCCTTGTTACTGCAGCACCACTTCTTCTTGGAGTCAGACCAACCCTGAAGCCAGTTCGAGAAGCCAGCATCACAGTCGTAGATTTTCCCGGTGGCACTGCCCACACCCGACATGTGAACATGATGGATGTGGAGGCTTCCGTGCCATGTGCCAGGGCATCCCCTCTCCTCATGGTCGCAACACCATTCCTTCTTCACTTTAGACCAGCCGAAGTACCAGTTGGAGTAACCGGCATGGCAGTTGTAGTCGTCACGATGGTGCGAGACGGGAGGCAGCTTCACCACGATAGGCTTCGAAGGTACCGATACCGGTACTGGCTTGCGCACTACCTCGACGTCTCCAGGTGCTGGAACATGTACAACCTTGGGAACCTCGACATATCTGGTTCTGACAATTACAGGTCCCGGGACTCTGACGGTCTGAACTTTGGGAACCTCAGGCACTGGGTACGGTATCTCCTTGTATGTGATCTTGGTCTTGGATGCCTTTGGTGGCAAGTAGTGGGGCACCTTGACTTCTTTCACCTTGACAATTCTGTGGTACACATTGTGGTTCACGATCTGCGGGCGGCAGCCTAACTGCTTCAGGTAGCAGCAGTAGCGTCGATGTCGAGAGCTCCACGAATCTACGGGCGAGTCTTTTTCGCATGTATATGGCGGTGGCTCCTCTACGACGACCTTCTTGTTCACCACCGTGGGCACAGGAACCCGGACATGAACTTTGTACGGGATTGGGACAGACACGTCGTTATACTTCACTTTCGGCACAATCTTCACGCGTGGTTCAGGACAGCCTCTTCCGTGATGGGAGCAGCAATATTTCTTCTTGCCCTCATCCCAGATGCTCTTCCAATTGCTGAATCCATCGTCCTTGCTGCGAAAGATGCACGGCACAACTTGAAAAAAACGTGCCCCACATGCCCCAGGAGGCGACTCCGACTGCTGAAACTGGGATGCGCGCACAGTCCGGCACAGCAGGTGGAAGGACGACGTCAAACCCAGCGTCTTGTCCAGGTGCGGGTTTTCTGATGAGAAAGAGAATCCACACCAAGCCTCACAGCTGGTTTTTGCCCATGAGAACTGATAGGAACATCAGCGAGAAAGAGCACGCAGGGAAGATGCTGCCCCAGCCTATCAGAACGGGAACCATCATCAAACATACCACTGCACCACATACTCCGCCGAATCGATTCGGGACCACCACTTCCTTCCAGCAGGCAAAGCTGCTGCAGAGACAAGGCTTCTCTCGATCTGCAAACAAAACGTCGCTCCTTGTCAATGCTACCCTTTCCAGCTCCAACAAACTTGAGGCTCGTCACTCTCTCATAGGCGCCTTTGCCTGCGGGACGTTGGGTTAGCACACTGCTGGATTGAAGCTGCCCAGTTTCAGCGGTGCCTGAACCAACTTGCACCCAGCTGTCACCACGTGATTCGCGTGATGATTTCACTTCCTCGAAGCATCCACCTCGATGGTATGTCGCAACATGATAGAGCAATTATCTCTTGCCCGGCGTTGAGATATACATATGTTTGAGTGCAGCTGAGAGCACATGGCCCTTCGGACTCAACCACCACCATCGCCTCAGAAAGAGCCACCAAACACAGGGCAACTCCCATACGTTAAAGTGCTGCCTCCTGCGTCGACGTCGAGCGAGATCTGAGTGAGGGACTGGGCACGAGCACCCTGCTCTCTAGGCTGCAGGCAGGTCTGAGCCAAAACCGCTGAAGGCAGCCAAATAGCAGCACCCAAGGTGGCAGCCAAGATGGCAACGATGCAATCAGGTCTGGCAGTCTGAGGCTCTTGTTCCAAATCTGGCGTCGCGCGATTTTTGCATCCAACACGCAGCGGCTGCCGAGTTCAACACCTGTCTTGACTTCGATCCACGTCACCAATGTCGCATCTCTGGCAGAATATTCAACCTGAGCCATCGATGCACTAACTAATGCACAGTGCGCGAAACACTGGAAACTGAAAGTCTCCAGCAGAAGTAGGCATTGCTACATCCTCTGCAGCTGAGCACTTTACAAGCCGGATGCCAGGCTCAAACGGCAGCGGAGCATCGCCCTCCCAGTCAACTGGGGGTGTGCTGCCACTCACCTCGCAAGGCGGGGCACTGCATGGCCCTCGAAAGCCTCTTCGATCTGCTGATACTTTCCAAGGATGACGCTGCTTGAGGCCCAAGCACCCGCAAACAAGGATACCAAAGAAGCATGTCCAGCACAAGGACAAGACAGGGCAAAGACAACCCGAGAAATAATCTGAACCCAGCTGCTCGGCCGTAGCACAGGAAGATGCCGCTTCTTTGGAAAACCGCCTGGGCAAGAAAGGAGAAATCCGTTTCCACCTGACTGACACTGAGCCGAGGAACATCATTCGAATGGTCATGGCCGCAGAAAGTCGCCAAGATGGGCCCATTTGCATCGACAAGGGCATCAAATAATCCTCGTGGGCGGCTACGGCTGCAGCCGAGGCTTTGCAAGGTGCAGAGTGTAAGTTCAGTCGAAGCGTCCGCTGTTTAGCTTTGAGCAGCCAACAACGCGATGCTGTCCAAGTGCTCGCACCAGCCAGGGCATCCAACACCATGGGCGAGGGACCATGCCAGCCTGATCTGCTACATTAGGCCACGTCGTCATACGTGAAAACATGCGAGTCTTCTCTGCAACCGGGCTCAACCCACGTTGCAATCACCAACAGAAGCGCAAGGACCAAGCAGTTGCAGCGAGGGAACGACATGAATATGGTGATCCTATCAACCTGTCAAATATGCATCTGCTGATACAGTGATACCCTAAACCCTAAACCCTAAACCCTAAACCCCTAAACCCCTAAACCCCCTAAACCCTAAACCTGATACCTGAGCCCGGAGCCATCAACGCCGACTCAAAGAGTCCCTGGGTGCCGTGGACGGGTACCAGGCTCCCATATTCCGGCAACCTTAGAGTGTTGCGTTTGGGCTTTGGGGCTGACCTTACGCTTTGGCATGCGTAAGAAAACACGAGGTGCTGCAGGGGTGGAGATCGACCGACATGGGTTTCAGCTTGGAAGTTTAGAGCTTAGGGTTTAGGAGTTTAGGGTTGAGGGGTTAGCAATGACACCGCATCGTTTTGGGGATGGACTTCCCTCCTCATGTACGACGAATGGCACTCGCTCGTTTGGATGCGTAAATCGAAGTAGAGCGATAAATGCAGCATATCGCCTGAAAAGTTGTTGGGACAGCACACAGTACAAGTACGAAGAACATGTCACTTGGTTTGAGGGACACCCTGCCGAGTGGCGCCTGACGACAACATGCAATACAGAGAAAGATTTGGGCGGAGAGGCAACGAGGAAGATGGCACTGCTAGATGGCACGGCTGCATGCCTCATGCTGTTGTTGCCGCAGCAACCAATTTCCTGTGTTGGACACACCATCTGACCTATTGGCAAGGAAGCTATGGCCCGGTTTGAATGCCACGATAGTCCGAGAGTCCGCCCCATTCAGATCGCTTCCAACCACCCCTCTGCTTGTCTGCAAAATTCGGCAAAGAACACACCAAGCCGCTTTTGTTCGATGCAATGTGGGACAACGCCTATAGAACCTATATGTTGAATCTTGATGCTTCCAGCTAAGTGGGAGTCCAGCCCATGGCAGCAAAGGGAAGACACGCACCTGTCCAACGGTTCTTCTGGAATGGACGTAAGTGTGCGTACAACACACCATCCGACCCAGCTCAGCAGTGAGCGGCCACACTGCAACAGCTCGAACAACGCATAAGGCACAAGCCCCTTGTCAAAGGCCCCGATGGCACACTCTGAGTAACAGCGCAAGGACGCAGTGCGACGGGTCGTAAGAGAGTGTAACGGAGGAACCCGGACGAAGTGACAGACCCATCCTGAGACCCTGAGATTGTCAACGTAACAGCGCAAGGACACGGTGCCTTGACCATGAAACGAACATGAGGGTTCGCAAGGAAGCCACAGCCCAACAACCATCACAAACCTCCATCCCATGCCATAATCAAGGAGCCATCATCGGCTTAACTCAGTGAAGAGGCGGGATGTGGAAGTACACCAGGGAAGGGCACGGCGTCAGCGTCGAGGAGAGCTCACGGAACGCATCTACCGCCTCGCTGGTGAAGGTTTCGTATCCTTCGTTGGCACATGGTATGGAAGACATTCAACTTCTTATCACACCGGTTGGCGAGGACTCGACAGCATAAGATGCTGCGAAAGATGCCGATGGATGGATCTGAGCTGTTACCCCCGGAGTCCTGGATGCTCTGCACTGAGCATTTTTACGACAACCGACAATGGAAGCGCACGCGGGAGTTACCGGCCACACGCAACTAAACAGTGCCAAAGCACGAAGAGCCACAAGCGCAAAGACGCTGCATCATCTGCAAGATCTCCGTGTCCTATTGTGAAGGTGTGGTTGAACTGCTTCGCACCTTGCGACGCACAGCCAGGGAGGTCGTAGATCTGCAGAAGATCAGCCCGGTCCCATGGGGAGCCATCGTCGTCGTGATTTCCGGGAATGTATGTCCAAGGCAGCCTGGGCCGCACAAACATGGCCTCGCACACTCTTCAGATGAACTTCGGTGAGAAATGACTAAGACTAAGTACCACAAGCATGCTTTCGCACTGCCGGAACACCCGAATTTCAGGACGGGCTCCAGCAGCTCCAGGAAAGTCGCCCGCCATGCCGAAGGCGTGCTTGCGTGAAAGGGTCGCCCATCAATGATGTCACCAGTGAACACGACAAAGTGAGGCTTGCATCTCTCCAGTACCGTTTGCAGCAGCTCGATGTCGCCGGTTTTGCTGTAGTCTTGACTTGCCAACGGCATCCGTCGACCCTTCGGGCAGTCCCAGTATGTGACATTCCCCGGGAAGCGGTGAACATCGGTGACTTGTGCTATTCGAACAGCATCCGTTTCGCCGACGCATAGCCGGACATGCCCGAGAACCTCCATAAAGACTGTCTTGAGCCGGCAGAGGCTTGTAACACAAATTCCCCTTCAATCCAACAGCGACACTTAACAGCAAAGGCATTGAGGGCATGACGAACATTCGTGAAGATAACTGGCTTGCCAGCACCTGGACAGCGTCTTGCGACTGGCGGGTCGTCCACGTGTCCGGCTTGCGGGAAAAATCTCAGAAAGCATACTGTGCTGCTAGTCAACTACGACGTGCATGGATGAACATGGAAGTTTCCAGACACTCGCTAGCCAAGGCTGCCGCTCAACGGGCCTGTTCGAAACCGGTCCCGGAATTCCTCCACGGCTCAGTGACTGCTATTGAACCATATTCTATTCTGCTCTATTCCATTATGTGATAATATAATTTTTGTTTATCATGCTACATTAGACTATATAATACAATGCTTTGTTGCACTAAATTATATCTTAAGTAGCATCTCTGCGGTCTCCGTCGAGTCACAGGTCCTGTGCTGACAGATGGCTACCATCAACGCGGTCGAAGTCACATGTCGCGGCTGCAACGGACACCTTTCTCTGAAACAGGGTTGAGGTCTTTATTAAAGGCTGCAGTGGGGGACTTTCCGAAGGCAGACTCCCTGCCCTTTGTGGGCGTGCACTAGGAAAAGGGCGATCTCACCCCAACAATTTATTCTCAGCGCCACTGAAGCTTATCCCATGTGTGCTCTCACACTCGCACAAGGCAGGCAAGACTCCACTTAGAGGGTTTCGGGTTTAGCGACTCAGCACAGTACTTCTTGTCTTGGTCCACAGCAGGCAAGGCATGATCGCACCACTTATTGCTGCACGCGCGACACCTGTACATGCATCGTCGATCAAGTGCATCAGTCAAGAATATTGCCGCAGAGCTCAGTCCGCATGTGGCCACAACTAACATGGTAGACAATCGCACACAAAGCTCTCCGGACATAATCTCCAACTATCCTATGTTGGCCATTTTGTTTCCAGATCCCCACGGGTGGTCATCTTTGAACTCGTCAAAATCCTGAGGCTCAGTGTCAATGAGATGATACGGCCAACTATACGAACTAACCCATGAAGTCCTACTGCTGCCGAGGCTCCCGATCCTTGTACAACCTGTGGCAGGCTGAATGATAACAAGCAGCGCCAATTTCTGTTCAGGACGAAGATCGGCTTACTGACCCTGAGCTTGCAACTTCTGGCTTTCCTCCCATTCCTCTTTGGCTCCATATCGATCCCCATTCCACCTTGGCAGAAGGTGCGAGGTGGGGGGGGGGGCCAAGGCTGATGCCAGTACGTGCATCTGTCTGCACGCAAGCTGCAAAGCCCGCACACGCAGTTGCCACTTCAAAGCCCAAAGCTGAAACGGAATGTGGAATCCGAAGACATTGATATGCGACGAAACACCATCTGTCTGCATCGTGGGCTTCCTGCTCGACCTGCCTCCTTGCCCGAGCAGCCTCAGAATCGCAATTCAGCGCGACTTTCTGAAACGACACACATCTGCCTTTCGGAACAAGATGCCCTGCCTCGATCTCATGCATCTCCTCTATCTCAAGGTCGGCCGCTTCTTCGATGGACATGGTGGCCTGTGGATGTGGGCATTGAAACACCTCGGCGGAGCTGTTATGGAACTCTTCCAGCACTCCCGAATACATTATATATATATATATAAATATAATATATATATATACACACACACATATTGCCTGCAGGGGGCGACTGGATCTTGGTAGAGCAGGGCTGATTGTTGTCAGTAGGTGCGGACTCTGCTGCCGATGGCTTTCCCAACACCCCACGCGGTGTTGTTTCAGGCTTCCGTTTCGAAGGCTGTGAATTGACATACATATATATATATAATGAATAATAATAATAATGATAATAATAATGATAATAATAATAATAGTAATAATAATAATATGATTTTGGATTGGTTGATTGATTGCTTTCTCTATATTATGTACTGCAAGGCCGAGGTCCAGTCCATCTCTCTGTAGAGTCTTTGCAGCTCGGCTTTATCCTGCGGTGAAGGCTGGTGACTTATTATCCAGACCTGCGGGTCGTGTCGCAAGCCGATCGCCGGCCTGAATTCGAAGACAAGCGGGCTTCACAACCGGCGGCTTCGGCTTCGCGGCCTCCTCACTAGGACCTCCCCGTGCCTCATTCAAGAGTGCATCCTGTGGTTGCCACGAATCCCATCTAGAGCATCTCGTGCACAAAACCCTGTGAAAGATTAAGCTTGAAGCCACCATCATCTCCAGCAGCGGCAGCTCTTGCTCTGCTGAAGATATGCTATCTGGCACCTTTGATCGGCATTGTGCATATACCAAGACGTAGTAGCTTCAAGGCGCCTACCACGCTCCAGACTCACGTGTCCAGCACCGTCTAAAGCACATGTTTGCTAATTCTGCATTTTCACCTTCACTGTTGTGGTAGGCTTGAGCTCAACGCAACTCAAAAACTAAGCCGCCAGGGCAGGTCGGAGCCTGGGGTTGATTGCGAGTGCTCCAATGATCAAGTGCTCTTCTCTATTCGGTGATATGACGGCAATTCTGGGACGAAACTTCCGTCATGAAAGCAGGAAAAGTACCAGCACCATACCGGCCTTCCTCACAGCTCGGGCACTGGCAGATACAAGCTCTTTGTCCGAGTAGGCTTACCCAACTTTCCGACACAATGTCCAATTCCGGGCTACGCTTGAATCAAATCTTTTGCTTCAGGAGATGAGGTGCCTCAGTATACCCAAAAATATTTCCGCCTTGCAAGCAGGGATCTGATGCGAGGGCTTTGCTCAACAGCATCGTGATCAAGCTACGCTCCTGGCTGTAAGCACGAGCATCACTCTGCTTCTCACGCTTTGGCCGGGAACCGCACTGCATGCAAGCTGCCATGTCTTCGTCGAATGCACTACCGGTGCCCCAAAAGTATTCATCTCCGAGACATTCTTGCTTCTTCTGAAACCTGGGATCCGCACTCCATGGGTCACAGGATGTCACATGCATTGACGATGTGGAAACCTCCAGCTGGAACCAAGCAACAAGTATGCCACCTTGGCGTCGATTTCCTTACACCGCTTGTGGCGTGCAATTTTCTCGTCCCGTCGGGTAGCAGCATCCCTTGGCGGCTGCTCCTTCCATCGGACGCTCGTGACACAGGCTCAAGGCTTCCGCAACCTAGCGAGCGAATCGTCAGCCCAACAACAGAAGCAACAACAACAAGAACATCAAGATCGAGTCTGGGATCCTGGTCCAAGGTTGCATGATCGTCTGCATGTCCGATGGCCAAGCGATGACAATCGGCCGCGAACGCACCTGTCGCTGTCAAGAAGGAGATGTTCAATTAGGAGATGTCTGTCTTCCTTCCCGGCTCCGAGTTGCTTATAACTTTTTAAGGGCGGAGATGCGAATTGCACCAGTGATAGCCCAGGCACGCCAATATACCAGGGCATTGTGAAGATGCGCCCCACGGACTGCGATATCTCGTGCTGCAGCAGCCACCTCAAAGCAAGTTTTAAATAAAACTCGCGTCGAAGTACTTCAACCCAGGTTGCACGTTCCCCAACCCAATTTGACCCAAGGTTGAGGCCGCCCCCGGTGCGCATCTGGTTCCCAGGGGCCTCAATCGCCTGTGACTTTTTTTGGGGGGGGTCGCTGCACTAGTCCCCGTTCTCCCCTGGCCTTGACCCTTCAGATTGGGAAGCCTTGTGCTGTTCAGGCTCCAGCATGGACATGTTACGTGCTTGAAGTTGCGGGTTATTTTGTGCTTGCAAGAGCGCCATTGGTAGATGAAACTTTTCCCCGACCTGTTTCCACCGTCGGACACAGTCAGCGCCTGCTGCACTGCTACGGCTGCTACGGACGGGTCGGGACGCGGCTTGGTCGAGGCCCGCTCTGCCAACGAGCATCTGCAAGGAACTCTTGCAAAGCCGCCGGCAGCACAAAGTTCCGTCCGCAGGGAGCGTGAGCACGGGCGAGGAGGTGGAGGAAGGAGGCGGCTTCGCTGTCCCAGCGGCCACCAACCACAAGTCCAAACACAACCAAGCGACACCTCCTGCCACAGGGTCGAGCTTTCCTGTGCTTGAGCTAGAACGTTCGATCCCATCGACCAAGCAGGAACACATTCATCAACGATCATGCTTCCAAAGGTTTCCAAGCGAAACTGTGGCAGGGGCACGGGCTCGACAAGGCGATGTTCATATGGCGTGCACGGGCACGGTCGGCGATTTCCGAACAATCAACAGCCATATGTTAGGTTGGATGGCTCCTGGAGCAAGAGTTAGCATCGGCATCGGGCGGAGGCTTCGACGAACGCCAACTTATCGACCTGATGGTGCACAACGGATTCGTCGCCATGACCCCAAATCGACGGCGTCTCTGAATGCTGCCATTTTCAGCATGTCGATTTCACTGGCGGCCGCCCGACATCGTGGCACTACTCAGTAATGCTGATGCCTTGCGTGGCCGGTGTTTTGAGCAAGTTGCGCGAAATACCTGGTTCGACGTTGCAGCCTGGATCAGCCCAAAATCTATACAAAACCCGTGCCAGAGCCGTGCAATGCCAGTAAACAACCCATTGTGGAAACTTGGCTTTAGGTTGCCTTGCAGAAACCAAGTTTCCCTTTCAAAACCTTACAGCGCAACCTGCGTTAAAGCAGGTTCTACCAGTAGTTGCTTCAAGTTGCGCATCAGGCGCATCAGATTCTCTTGCACATGCATTGCCACTGCCCCGCGCACAAACAAGGTCCCTGAGTCAAGTAACCAAAACTTAGCACCAAGCGACTTCCCCAAGGATTGCAACAAAGGCTGACACAACTGCTCTTTCAGCACAACAGACGCCGATTGGCTGCTCTCAAAGGCTGCTTCAAAACGCGTATTGGGCTCAGATTGTTCTAGAACACAACATAGCACAAGCGTAGAGTCTACCTGTGCCTCCTGCTCATCACTTTCTTCAGGCTCATAAAAATCATCAGCGTCCGTATACCACCAAGCACCTATCTCCTCATCCAAAAAAACTGCAAAAAGCTTTCCTTTCTTTCCTCATCTTCCTTTGCCTTTTCCCTTTGGCGCAAAAGTTGACCTTGCCATGACCCCAACGTCATTCGGGCGTCGGGTGGTCAGGCCGGCCAGGTTTCTCCTCCCGCTGGCACCAGTTTCAAGCGATTGCTGCTTGACACGATGCCTTCTGCAATGGGCATACTTGCTGTGGTGACAGAGTGGGCCGTATACGTCAGCGGCTGCCACTGGCAAACACAAGTGAAACCAAAGCACCACGACCCCGACGACGGGTGCTGCCACGTGCAAGCCAAGCTCCTCTCATATACTCCCTGCGGCTGCGTGGATTGGTAAACAAACAGATGTGTATGGACAGCCAATGTCAAAGAGGTCAGGAGTTAGCAGAAAATGTTGTTGGCACAATGCTGTGGTATAAGCACACATGCTGAGGCGCTGTTTTGATGCAGCATGATGCTGCACGTAACGGCTGTATGTCAGTCAAATGTGTTTGTCCCGTCCTTCACTGCGTCTGCAAGGTTCATCCAAGCGGCGTTGGCTAGCAACTTTCGGAAATCCGCAGCAACAGGGGCCGGAGCTGCACTGCGACTGCCTAGTACTCCTACCGACAGCATTATTGTTGGACGCCCGGCGCAGAATTGGCGACGGCTCCATGCAGAGATATCAAAAGCACTTTTATTTTCGCCCGCACGTCGACGTCCAGTAGGTGCCCCCAATCCCAGAGGCATGTGCTGCTTGGTTGGTTCTCAAGGAACAGTCAGCAGAAAATCGACATATTTCTGGAACCATGTGTTGTAGCTCTGGGAACCCTGCCTCACACCGTTGCATCAACGATTGCTGTTGGTCTTGCTGTGCTACCGATACTTGCCCGTGTCTTGGTGTTGGGAACCCCCATCCGACACCAAATGCCGTTGCAGCTTTGCGTAGGGCCAGATATTAATTTCACGGCTTGCCGCAAGGTTGTGACGTTGACATTCAAGGGCCAAGCAGCGAACCCATCAAGAGCAAAACGTCACTAGTTTACCTTCGCAGTGTTAGTGTGATTTCCAAGCCCGGCTCTATCATTTCGGAAGGCAACCGGTGGCTGGGGATGGCTAAAACATAATTCGCTGCATGAACCGCGTTTGGAAACATTCGCCTCTCGCACGTGCAAAGAAGATGCAAATCTTCTCGGCTTGTGCGTTTCTTGTTTTGGCTTTGCAAAGCTGACCTGTGCAAACCTGATGCATTTATGCCCATTACCTGCACCTAAGGCCAGCTCTTGGAAAGGCTCGGTCCCAGGTTAGGGCCGCCAGGTTCACGAAGGGCCGGCGCATCAGCATGTGGCGGGCCCGGCTTGGCCCGGACGCGCCCCAGAACTGTGTGCCCAACGGCTTGACAGCGACGAGGAACACACTCCCCCAGCGGCGGGCATACGCTGCTTTTGCAGGGGCTCGCACGCTTGGCGGGGTTCTCTGAGAGAGGAAGGCGACCAGGCGCTTTGACCAGCCAAATGCGGAGGGCTCCATCATCCACCCACTTCACAGCCGAGCACGCACAGTAGTTTGCGCGCCACCGGCAGTATGAGACGTGCTTGCACCCAGCTGAGTGAGCAGCGAGACCATGTTCCAAGAAGCTGGCACTCAGAAACTTTGCAGTACTCGCTGGCGCCGACAGTTATTACATCTGGGATGCATACCCCCCATGTGTCAAAGGGGCACGACGTGCACTGTTGCCGGATGCAATATTGAACGTGTGGCTTAAAATGTTCGGCAAAATTCGGACGTGACGGACCCACTCTGCAATATATCGACTACAAAATAAGCACGCTGAGCGAAGGCCCACTAAGTTGGGTTTGGTGCAGCTCAGAAATACCAGTTTTCACAGCACCAGTCAGTAAGCCTCGTGTAAAAACACATGGCAGATATACCGTCTTACAGGCTCTTCGCGCGTGCGAAGACAATAAAGTGTTTGGACGCAGCGATTCCGTACGATTGAAGGCTGCTGCCACATGAACCCGCGACATCTAAGCAAATCTGTACACTTCTGTGGCCCAAGTGTGTCGTGGTCTACCGCGTCGTCGAGCAGAAGCAGACAGTGTCAGTTGAATAGAACCATCTCGAAACACACACTTGCGCATGACATCTTCTGACGGGAGCTGCGGATGGAGGATCAAAAAAATTGAAATGGATTAAAACAATAAATTTTGTATAATTTCAAGAACAAATTTAGGGTAGGAGGATTTGCTGCAAACAATAGCACGGTTGCTGGGCATAGCGGATAAAAAAATCAGGACGGATCAAAAACAAATTAAAACATTTCTGTAAGTGCGATTTCAATAGTCCTGGGAACCACTAAATCCGGGCAGGGGGTTTCAGATTTACGAGTGAAAGTTGGCCGTGCCAGCGCCGCAGAATCCAGACGTAGCGGGCTTCCGAAGTACTATTAGTACTATTACTACTATTCCCACCACTACGACAGCAGAAGAGGACGAGAGAGACTGAGTCTGAGAAATTGCACCACCATGCCGCACCAAACACTCCGCACTGGCGAACGATTTTTGGACTCTTGGTCCCGGGAGGTTCGTGTGCGTTTTTGGCTCTGCAAAGCCGGTCTGCTCCATTCGCCACTTCCTTCCATCGGAGCACTTCGAACTTTCAGCGGTGGGTTTGGTGTTTTGACGCTCACACTCGGACAAGCCAGGCAATGTCTGCAGACTTAGTGTTCCGTCTTAGGGCTTCTAAGGGGCAGGACACCGAAAAGCCGTAACATGTCACTGAGGCAGCGGCATTCCGAAACCTTCGTCGTCAGCATTCCCTGTCCGGAGCGCAGCAACCGGCGTGAGCACAGGTGCAGAAAACTGAACCGGGATGCCTTGACGGTTTTGGAGAGTGATGATCTGCAACTTCGGCACCCTCGCATTAGGCATCGGCGTTTCCTCGCAGTGACAAAGATGTAAGCGTGGCAAGACACGCGGCATGTGACCATTAGCACACGACAGCTACTAGCACCAACAAGCGCGTCACTGGCTCCAGCAGCAACAACGACAACAAAGGTAAACTTCGATGGATGCCGGCTTTGCAAGCAGCAGACGCTCCGCTTCAGCGATGCGCACCAGCAGCAACAATCAAAGCAGCCGCAGAAGCAAGGGCAACAGCACCATGGCCGAGCAGAGACTGCAGTCTCGCAACAACGGGTGCTTCAGTGAAGTGCAGCGGCTCAGGGCTTGACGGTCCACGCCACCCCAGCATCTTCGCCGCGCGGACGGGGTGCCGTGCTGTAAGCCTCAGGAGCATCGTAAATTGAATGCATGCCCGAAAGTTTACGTATACTTCGGAGACGTTGGAAAATTGAGCGCCAGGCACCCCTAGATCTCGCGACTTGCTGCATCCCGCACGCAGACATTCCTGGATGCGAAGTTGCCGGGGACACGTTGCGGTGACTCTATCTTGCCTCGGAGTGGTCTTGTTTGTATTTACCTCATAGCCGACGCCAGCACCGCAGGCAGG